TGAGAAAAAGGCTTTAAAGAATCCACCAGAAGTGCGCCATGCACTTGACTTGTTTCGAAATTGAATAGGCATCTTTCGAAAGAGTTCTCAGTTCTTTTTCGAAACCGTTGAAAGACTGCTTTAGGAAATTCCACATCCTTATAACAAAATTTTTCAGTGTGGCGAGAGTCAATGCCTGATGATGTACGCTTCACACCAATTCCCCTTTTGGATCGACTCGTCAAAGAAGGAAAACTCGGCCGAAAGACCAAAGAAGGCTTCTACAAATATTGACAACTCACAATCCCGGGTCTCTGTATAAAGCTGTTACTTTGTTTTCTCATAGTAAATACATCTGTGCACCGAAACTGTTTATCGCTGAAAGCTAACAAAGGAAGGGAGCAGTTGATACGATGAAATGTCGGGAAGCAGGGGGCTCTAGCAGGAAACGATCGGATCAAAATGTCGTATTGATAAAGCCATTCCGTAAGGATTCAAGGCATCTCCATTTTTGAGGTCTTATATCAGCCCCATAAGTCACCTATGAGCAATTATCAACTGACGATTAGCGCAATCATGCTTTGGCGATGAGCAGAAACTGGTAATGCATTTTCAAGCCGTTTGACACCACGCAGCATTTCCATGTTAAATCGTTTATGTCCTGGTACAGACGCAACGCACCCACCTGCAGCTAAGCCTTCGCCGCGTAGTTGCACTTTGGTGTACTATAATATGTGATACCGCTGTTCGGCGACGGGGGGGGGCATTTTGCACTTTCGCAGCTTCACTAGCTCACTCTGGTAAAACCTGTGAACTCTTGTGTATCTGGAGCAAGCTCGTCCAGCCACCATGATGAAACCTGTCAACTCTCGCAAGGCTCTCTCGATGGCTCGACACGTCGACAAGTGGCAAAAGTGCAAAATGCCCCCCCGTCGCCGAACTGCGCCCTGGTACCCTACTTCATTCCCCTCTATAAATCCCTGGATTAGCTTGCGAAAGCACAGTTTTTTTTCACGGCGTGATATGCAAAGAGCTGAAGAGCTGCATTAACAGCAGCAGCATAGTATGAAGAGCTGCAGCAGCATAGTAGCCACGAATACGAGGCCCGTTTAAAGTTGATAATGGTCAATTTTCAATGTGCTTGCTGTAAGGATCAAGAATAGAGCAGGGGTCGATCCACTTTTGAGACCTGCCTTGCATTCTACACTCTAGTTCGCTGCGGACGGTTGGGCGTGTCAGGCAGTATGAGTGTGTCACGCCGTCAAAGCCGTTCTCTGCCTTCTTGTTGAAGCGCGCATGCGACAAAAAGTGGTAGAAAACGAGTAATACGAACGATATGATACAGTCATATCATTTGCTCGCTTTAACAACTGGTGGAGAACGGGTTTGGCATCCGCGCCAAACTCATCCCGCCTGACACGCCGAACGCCGACCCGTCTGCAATAGTTCCATTCAAAATCATAGTGGTACTCTCTGAATGGGATCAGGCAGTGTCGAGTATCGCGGAGCATCGCGCGGTCCCTACGTACCTCCAGATAGAGTGAACCTCCCTTACATACTGACGTTGTATCTGCACGATTTCTGCCGCTGCGTCGCGTCATAGCAGAGAGCTTGATGACCTACTGGACTTCCCCACCAATCTTCATTCCTTCTTGACCAGTTCTTAATATCATCCACAAATGATCTTTTCACCAACGATAAGCAAGACTTGTACTTTTGGGAAGGGTACGCGATACAACGAAGGGATTATAAGTTTACAACGAGGCTTCAGAACAGCCATAATGAGGAAACTTCTGTGCAAACGCTAGTTTTTTTACCTTTCAATGGGCACAGCTTTGTTCAGACATAGCGTAGTGGCGACAACCTACACGGTATTGAAAATTAGATAATTTCCTCCTTCCGATAATCACACCATTTCTTTCCTAGCTGTACTGTACCGAAAATTCGCCTTGCCAATTTTACTTCCAAGGTTTGCTTCAGCTGCGATAAGAGGTCCATATCTTTACAGCTCACATTTTCATCCAGATACCGCGGAACACTTCCAACACACTTCCGTCCATTTGTGATAAATAGGAATTGAAACACCGACGGGTTGATCAACTTTTCTATGGAACGCGCCATAC